TTATTTACTTTAGGTTTTATGGGTGATACAAGATCTTAGCCTGCTGTTTTTTATTTTATTTTTTGATGCAGTGCATGAACAATTGTTTATACCACGTTCAGGCTATATGTTAATAGAATACTATGTATTTAAGATTACATGGTTGATATTTGAGCTTCCTTATTAGTATTATTATATGGATGGTGAAGATTGATCCTGTGGCCTTGTGAGTTGTTGAATTTACGTAAGGCAGACCCGAAATTGTGGTTTGGGTTCATGCACGTACGTGTATGGGTGCATTGTGACATCAAATCTTGGTTATGTAACTTTTTTGCTTATAAGGATAACAGAAATGCTTCCTACTCTCACTGGGGGTCGACCCCCAGTGAGGTGTCACTCCGGAATTGGTCCAAAAAAATAATTTTTTTTTTTTTTTTTTTTTTTTTTGTGTTTTCAGCGAATAGGGGGTCACCACCTCACTGGGGGTCGACCCCCACTGGGTGTATGAATCACGGCTGATAAGAATAAATAATAAAATAAAATAAATCCATGGTTATGCACGGGGACGGATCTAGGATTATGTCTTTGGGAGACTATTCTATAGTTTAAAAAATTGGAGAGGCTACTCTATATAATTTTGAGATTAGCAATACTATGTATCATGAAAAACCTTTCATGAATATAATCATGAAAGTTTTGTGACCCTTGGATTACACTTAGAATAAAGCACCACACACTAATCAAAGTAATTCAAGGATCATAAATCTTTCATGATCATTTTTATGATAAATTTTTCATGATTCCTAACTTTTCTCTTTTGAAATTATCTACAAAAAATTTGAGAGTACGAACTCCTATAATTTTAAATTATTTTAAATTTTTTAATATAATATATAATATTTTTCAAAATTTGAAGCGTGCCGCCTCCTACTACCCTAGATCCATCATTGGTTATGTACAGAGTAACAACGTTCGCATGTCCTCGGTAGTGCAACATGATGAGGTGGCGTTTGATAATCTCTGCTCAAAATCTTACAGTTGGACCACCTTGGGCATAAGCAAATGCATCATCAATATGACACTCACACTCTCTCTCTCTCTCTCTCTCTCTTTCTCTCTCTCTTATTTATTGTAGCTAGATTTGGAACATCTTTCATGTTTCCTCTTGTTATATTTTTTAACACAACAAAACGCGTTGACAAATAACATAATTTAATTAAAGTTTAAAATTAAAATATAATAATACCAATTACACATTTTAAAAATATATCTTTTTATTTCAAGTTTAAATTTTGTAGGAGAGGGTTCGAGAAAGGAGTTGAAAAATTCGTTCTCTCTCTCTTATTTATTGTAGCTAGATTTGGAACATCTTTCATGTTTCCTCTTGTTATATTTTTTAACACAACAAAACGCGTTGACAAATAACATAATTTAATTAAAGTTTAAAATTAAAATACAATAATACCAATTACACATTTTAAAAATATATCTTTTTATTTCAAGTTTAAATTTATACCGTTAAATCATCATTACAAAATCATTGTAAAGATATTTATAAGAGAAGATACTAATTCTTTTTGATTTAGAAGATTGTTATGGTCACCTCTTTCAAATCGAGCAAAGTTTATTTGGTCCTGCCAAATATTAGAAGGGCCTCTCCCTTGTATATGTCTAAATTTTTGAATTTGTGTTTTATAACTCTCAAAATTTAACACACTATTTTGCTCAAATGTACTTGTCCTGATTCTATCATACACGTTTCAATATTCTCAATTTTTGGAGTCTAAATATTATAATTTTTTTATATTTTTTGAATTTTGAGTTTTTCAGCTAAAATAAAAATCTTTTTTCAAACTATTATTGATATTTTTCGGAATAGTTTTCAAATCACAAATTATTTACATGCTACATAATATTCCCATCCCAAATTTCTCGGTTGGTCATACAACTTTTTGTGAATTGGGCTAGAGCTTTCTTGTTGTTATTTTTATTTATATTTTTTTATTGGTAAAGAAAAAAGATTATGTTGACAAGTGTATGACACAACGATGACAATACATGCCACCAAGGGCTGAGGCAAAAACCCATCGAGCTACCACCAAATTTTGGGCTATAAAATTAGGGACAAGAAAGTTTTGGGCTATAAAATTAGGGACAAGAAAGTCGAGACCATGAACGTAAAGGCCGTGCCCAAAAAAACAAAAAAAAAAAAATGAAGGTAATGGGCAAAGCCTTGTCCACTGTGCGGAAGTTTGGGCTTAGCGTTCCACTGTTACCGAACTCTTGGACTTGGGGAGATTTGGTTAGAGGCCCTTTACAATAAAATTTTAATCTATTAAAGATAAATATAAAAAAAAAAAAAATCCAGTACGTATCACTATTATCAAAATATCTTTAGTGGGCAATTTAATATTTTAAACTTTAAAATAATATAACTTTTGATTTAAAGATTGGTTTTAATAAAATTAGTATTTTTATAATCCATTCATCAATATCTATTAAACATGATCTAGGTTGATTATGAAATTATTAAAAAAAAATTACCATTGAAATTAACGTAAAACAGTAACATTTTACTTTGTTTTATAATAACATGTCATTCTGTCTCACAGTAAAATACTACTTTAAAATATTACTTTAGTTGACAGTAACATTTTACTGACTATTCTAAACAAAACATCAACAACAGAAACAGAATACAACCCTTCTTGCATATGAACTCACACTACCTCTAAAAAGTTAAATCCATATTTGTAGAATACTCAATGGCAACTTCAAAAATCCTCTTTGTACTAATAAAAAATAACACATCAATGACAAAAGAAGTCTCAAAATCAATTGAATTTTGGTCATTTTTTTACTATCATTCTTGAACACCTATTATGCTTAGTTAATATGGGTTTTTCCTATTTTCAATACATATCAAAAAAAAAAAAATCCAGTACGTATCACTATTATCAAAATATCTTTAGTGGGTAATTTAATATTTTAAACTTTAAAATAATATAACTTTTGATTTAAAGATTGGTTTTAATAAAATTAGTATTTTTACAATCCTTTCATCAATATCTATTAAACATGATCTAGGTTGATTATGAAATTATTAAAAAAAAATTACCATTGAAATTAACGTAAAATAGTAACATTTGACTTTGTTTTATAATAACATGTCATTCTGTCTCACAGTAAAATGTTACTGTAAAATATTACTTTAGTTGACAGTAACATTTTACTGACTATTCTAAACAAAACATCAACAACAGAAACAGAATACAACCCTTCTTGCATATGAACTCACACTACCTCTAAAAAGTTAAATCCATATTTGTAGAATACTCAATGGCAACTTCAAAAATCCTCTTTGTACTAATAAAAAATAACACATCAATGACAAAAGAAGTCTCAAAATCAATTGAATTTTGGTCATTTTTTTACTATCATTCTTGAACACCTATTATGCTTAGTTAATATGGGTTTTTCCTATTTTCAATACATATCACCTTCACACCAATTCACAAAAAAAAAAACTACACAACGCAATACCAATTCAAAGTTTGCAATGTCAAATCCTAACTAAGATTAAATTAATACTCTATATATCAGAATCCAAATTTGACAATTTCTCGATTCAGAAATCACAAAGTTACCCTCAATTTTAACCATTAATCTTTAACATAAAGAATCAATTTCTTTGGTGTTAAAGAGCGTTGAGGTGAATCAAAATTGAAGAACCTAAGTCATAAAGTAGGATACTGCATAGATATAAAGTGTCTAATGCACCATTCAAAGTTTAGCTTCTTCTGTTAAATCTTGCAAGGCCTCCAACGCCTTCATTGTCTCAACAACTTCCAATGTCCTTTCAAAAACCACCAAACGAGCACGAATTAAATTGAATTTCAATCTTTCAACACCAAATAAATTGAATGGAAGAATGCTTCTTTGTTCATTGCTGAAATATATATTCAGGATAAGATTGTCCAGAAAAAAGAAAAAAAAATATATTAATTTGTTCTTCATAAAGAACGCGCTTCCTGTTCAGGAAGTTTAAAAAGTAAAATATTGAATTGTTCTTTACATACAAACATGTTGGGTTTAGTGGGTTTTGGCCAAATTTCTCAATTTTTTACTAGGACTTATTGGCCAATTTTATTGTCCAAATTGTTTTATTTATAAGTTTAGTTTGCATTTAATTTAACTTATATTTTAAGAATTACTTAAATTTTTAAGTAATACAAATTGTAATCATCAAATAGACTTAATTAATTTTAACTTGACATATTTGACATTGGGATAAGCTCACATTTATACTTGTATCTCTCCGTACTTATTCATACTCTTCTTATAAGCCCAAACTTGGATTCATATCGATGATTCAAACCGTTTACTTTGTAGGTTCTGTAATAAATATCATCCATATAAAAAATTAATTTCATCGGATATCTATAAATACAAAAACAAATCATATTTTATTTTATAAAATGAATAATAAATCATTCATTGTGTAAAATAAAATGTAATTTGTTTCTGTATTTGTAATTGTCTGATAAATATAATTTTTTGTGTAAATAACTTTTACTGTGAAACTTATAAAATAGACAATTTGAATTATTAAAGTGAAAATATAAAATGAATATGAAAAGATAAAACATAGAAGAGAGTTTACACCTCCAATACCAATGTTAAATTAAATTATTAAATATTACATGAATCACGCTACATAGAAGTAGTTGAATCAACAATAATGTACATGCTATTTCTATTTTAATGTAAAACCCATCCTTTACCGATTTTCGATTTAGTGCTTGAAGTTACATTATTTAGAAGATTAAAAAAATGTAATGTAATTATTATTTTTTATTATGTAAAACATGAAATTCACCCCTGTTTAAATCAAGTCAGGAGTTTTTTTTTTTTAATTGAAAGATTTGAGATTAATGTTAAATAAAATAAAGTGCGCAAAACCACCCACGTTAATCATGAATTGAAACGCGCTCGATTGGGTGGCCCCCATGTAACTTTCCCAGCGGATTCAGAATCAGCTCGAATTTCTCTCCCTTTCCGGGAAAAATAAAGCATTTTTGAAGTACAAATCCCCCCACTTTATAACCTCAATACCCACAAGAAGTCAGTCCGCTCGAAGTAGCCATGTAATTTCTCTCTCTGCCCTGTATCCGTATATAAATCCTTTTACGTCCTCTCATCTCCCCCGTATTTATAAAAAATTTCTCTCTCTCTCTCTCTCTCTCTCATATTTCGGATCTGAATTACTAGAAGCTCAATAAAGTTCTTCAACATTAGCGGTAACTCTCTCTGCAATTGTATTTTCCGAGAAAAATTTTCCAGGTGAGTTTTCTTTCTTATAACAAATTTGCTCGACCACTTCTTGTTTATCCGAAGTGCTAGCTAATTTCTTGCCCTGATCTCAAATTACTACCTATCCTTTGTGATTAGACCAAAATGCTTTCCGATTGGTTGACGATCAATTTGTTATATACATAATAGTGATTCATTATTACTTGATGTCTCATGGATTGAGTTTTGTTTTGTGATCTTATATGGATTGATTGAATTACCAGCGTCAGTTTGTTAGCCATAATTTCAAAGGAGTTTGATTTGTAATGTATGTATTACAGTTGAATTGAATATGACTGGGACAAGTCTTTAATTACAACTTTTGCAAATTGTCTAGACAAGTGCATAGTACATGTTTGCATGAAGATTCCACCATGGAGGCCTAATTTGTTATGCCATTGAATTTTCCACGTCTTCATCATATTTTTAAATTCTAAAGTCAATATGTATTTTTTATATTTTTCAAAGTGTCTCATGGCTTGCTTCTAAATGGATGTAGACTAGTAGAGTTTTATATTAAACTTTTGATTATTCAAGCATTGGATTTGATAAATGATGGGGGGAAATGAAATCCTCGTACAAAAACAATTTCAATATATTTTTTCTTTTATAAAATGAATCTATTCTCTTTCTCATGGATTAAAACCTTATATATGGACCATTAAACTTGATATCACTTTCAATGCTCTACTGAGAAATTAGTTATGGCGAAGAAGTCCAATTTGCAATTCATTTGTTTAAGAACCAATAGTGGCAGAGGCCAGTTGCATTTCAAAACATTTGGGAATCAGTAGCTGTCAATTCATTAACTCATCTTTATCCTATTTTTTCATGGAAAATTGTGTCCATTTATTGTGGAAATTAATTAATTAATTCTTTTTATATTTTTTAATTTGGTTTCCAGATGCGTAATAATTTTATCAATTCATGTTGTTTATTCCTTTTTTTTTTTTGTTTTTTTTGGATTAGACAGTAATCTATTGGCATTGCAATAATCATAAGTTCATAACAAGTTAGTCGTCTATGGTAATTGATGTAAGAAAAAGATTGTGGTTTTTCATAGATTGATATAAGTTTGTTAATAGTACTTATTTTGTCAAATTTGATAACCAACAAAACTGCAGTTTGAGCACTGATGGCCGATTATAATCCAGAGTTTGACAACTTGAAGAAATTCTACATCCCTAATTACATACTTGTCCCCGGTTCAGAGGGTGAGTGTCTCCCTGATGTACCAGAATGCCCAGTGCTAGTATTCATCAACTCCAAAAGTGGTGGTCAGCTTGGTGGGGATCTTCTTATCACATATCGTTCTCTTCTAAACAAAAACCAGGTGTTTTGGCCTTCAGTGAAGAATGTTTAGAATTTTAGGGATTTTTAATGCAGGATTGCATTAAACTTTGACAGAGTTGAGTTAGATCTATTTTCACATGTGGCCTAATTTTACTTTACTATTTTAGATTGTTGATTTGTTGGAAGAGGCTCCTGATGCTGTGTTGCACAGATTGTATCTCAATCTAGAAAAACTAAAGCTTAATGGTGATGAATTGGCTCTTAGGATTCAGGAGAATCTGAGAATCATTGTGAGTTGAGTTATAAATTACAAGTAAAAGTTAATTTTTGTATATAGCTTATTAATTGCATATGTAGTAGGCAATGACCACATTTCAATTTTGCTTATACATTTCTGACATGGATGTAGCTCATTAGGTTGCAGGTGGGGATGGCACAGCTGGCTGGCTTCTTGGAGTTGTTTCCGATCTCAAATTATCTCAGCCACCACCAATTGCTACAGTACCCCTGGGAACGGGAAACAACCTTCCATTTGCTTTTGGTTGGGTAGGACAAAGCCTGCATTTTTTTAAGTTTTGTTTTAACTTGAAAGTGTACTAATATTACTAATTGATGTTCTAATTGTGCTTTGTCTCGATTTATAAAGCGCAATGTATTGTCTCTGAAGCAGGCAGTTAGAATTAAGTATGTTAACATTTCTCTCTCTGTGTGTGTGTGTGTGAATAGACAAAAAGACCTCAAAACCCACTTGAAAATTCATTTGTGTTTGCTGATGCATTCGTTAACCATTGTTTTTTATTCATTATATCCTGGTCTTAAGATTAAAATCTAGTGACTATTTTAAGATTAAAGTTCAACAAAACTTTTACACTTCATTCCTTACAGCATAGTCTATATCCACATGGATTTGACGCCAAATTGAATATGATGTTAGCGTGTTTCATGTAACGCTACCTTTATATTTTGTATTTGTGGAGTCTGATGCTGACAAGTTTGGAGTTTAATAATTTGTAGACAAAGAAGAATCCTGGAACAGATCGTCATTCTGTAATCTCATTCTTGGATCAAGTAATGAAAGGCACAGAAATGAAAATAGACAGGTTACGCTGTTCACATGGCCCTTTTTCAGTTGATAATTAAACACCCACAGTATGTTGCTGAGTCTCATCAAATTAAATTATTTGCACCCTTTGTGTGCTATATTCTTTGACATCTTTGAATTGTTTTTTCTCTTATTCTGGATGAGCATGAAGTACTTTTATGCCAAATTCAAAGTATCTTTGGTATAACATTATATTTGTCTTGAAATCTTATAATGACTTGTCACATAAAGGCATATTTATGAGTTTCTCACACCTTTACTGTAGTTTTGGAAAAGATTTTCTAAAGTAGATTCCAGTAAGTTTTTAAAGGGAGGATTGCACTTCTGTGGACCATATACTTTCCATGATAAGTTGCATGTTAGGAAGGGCCATGTTCCTTCCTATGATAAGATATTGTCTTCACTATCTCTAAGCTTTATTGGTTGTGCTATGTATACCACTTAATTGTACATGGTTCAAATATTTTGAAATTAATCATGGATATGACTAATAGTAACAATAATTTCTAAATTTCCTGTAGAAATTCAGAAAATTCTTGATCTGGGAAAGATGTATTATGTTTTGTCCTGTTTGTTCACCTAGTGTGGTTTTGCTATTTTTATTTTCAGGATTCTTTTGCAAATTGTTCCTAAATATCATATTTTTCAAGATGTGGCTATGTCTTTGCATCCTTAATCATCCCAAATTGTCTCGACGGAATTCAAATTCAGTCTGACATTTGGATAAGCAATGGACTTTGAATTTCCTAATTCCTTCCTAGCCTGACATTTCGATATGAAGTTATGCACTTTGAAACTATGGATATTTAAGGTCCATTGCTTATCTTTTTGCACAATTACATTTTTGATGTAATTTTGTTGCTATTGCCTTGCAAATTTCAATATAATACAGTTGGCACATTCTCATGAGGATGAGAGCTCCAACACAAGGTTCCTGTGATCCAATTGCTCCTCTTGATTTGCCACATTCTTTGCATGCATTCCATCGAGTGTCTTCAACAGACACACTCAACAAGGTAAGACAATGAACTTTACCAATTGGTTCTAAGGAAAAGATGAAAACAAAAAACTTACCAATTACTTCATATGGAAGCAGTTAACAAATCAAGAAGCTTTAGTTTGTGTAGAACAAGTGTTAATACGAATGCAAGTTAACCCGAGTTCTAATTCTAGGTTTCTTTTTGCTGAAGTTCATTATCTTTGAATTTTATGCTTCTTCTTTCATCGTAGTCCTTCTTGTCCTTGACATATGTTAAACCTACTCCACTAAAGCTAACGCACTACACCACTACCACCTCACCTACTCCACTAAACCTAACCCACTACACTACTACCACCTCCACTTCACCTACTCCACCACTCCATCTCCACTTTACATCTCCTATATAATGTACATACAATACAATATAACATACAATCAATCAATAATATATGAATTTTAACATGGTATCAGAGCAAGGTTAAGAACCTGGTCATTCTGCTTCACCGGCGGGCGGCAGCCTCGCCTTGGCCGCCCGTCGGACCTCTACACATTCCCTAGCTTCCTCTATCTCAGTCACTGTCCTAACCCCTCCCTCGGGCATGGTCTCTCACTCTCTCTCTCCGGGGTGTGTATGTTGGGTCTCTCTGGAAGCAGACGTAACAGACGCCCTGAAAGATCAATCCTCTGAATCCCCTTCCCGGATGATGCATCTTGCACAAAATCCCAACCACCTCCTCATTCACCTCCCTTGCACTTGGTTTGGTGTCTCATGCACCACTGATCACAACCACAGAGTCAACTCAATTCGCCTTCTCGGACTCGGCCTCTCCGGGAACAATCTCACTGGTGTCGTTCCACCAACATTTGGAAATCTCTCTGCTCTTACTATTCTTTCCCTGGACTCCAACAATCTCTCTGGTCCACCACGCCGCCAATCGCGGCAGCCACCGCCGCCGACCTCGGCCCCGACGCCGCCTTGTAAAGCGCCCCTGTGCCCAGCTCTGCCACCACGCTGATTTGGGTCACATCTCTCTCATTTCTTCATCATTTTGGAGATTCGTCTTGCTGTGGCTGCTAACATGCGCCATCCTCCTCCCACCCTCCATACACTGCCATACTCACACACAAAGCTTGAGACTCACAAATTGAGCTACACACACACTGTTTTGAGGGAAACATACTCACCAGAAACGAGAAAAGATACACAACACTGATCTGGTTCTCTAGGCACCTGGTCTCCCTCTCTCGGCAGTTTTTTGGTTCTCCAGGCACACACAACACAGATAGCAGCGCACATACACCATATCCAGCACATCACCCATAGCTACAAAGGGACTCGGCATCAATCTCTCTCAGGGGCTTCTTGGAGACAGATGCTACACACATACGGGTTGCTCTCTCTCTCTCAACAGACACACACTCTCTCTCTCGGCCACCCCATTCACTTTTCTAATTATTATTATATACCTTTTTTTTCCATTCTCCAATATCATCACACCCAGACACCAACCTTTGTCCCCCCTCTTTTCCTTTCTTTATTTTTTTTCTTTTACTCACCCATATGACCCACGATTCTTTTCATTCCACTCTTGTTCCCCACTTTCTTTATTATATATATATATATATATATCTTGGATAGCAGCTAGATTATTTTTGGGTGCATCGGCTATCATTTTTCCCCTCTTTCTCTCACATGGGCTTGTCCCCCATCTCTCCTCCGTTTGATTTCCAACTCCATTATTTTTATTTATTTTCTCCCCACCACTTTCCTTATTTCCCCCATCTTTCATTTTTTCATTTCAAATATCTTTTTATTATTTTTTTTTCTTTATTTTTCTTTCACATTATTTTTAATTTTTAATTTTTTCAATTCCATTCATACCATATAGCTTTGCACACCCAACCATATTTTATTCATCTCAGGGATCCACCCCGATCACCATTTTAGGGTTCCTAATTAGCAGTTGAAACGAATTTGAATTTGCTACAGTATTGGACATTAAGTTTTTCAATTTCCAATCATTCTGCATATATTGCTATTCAACCAATGATAGTTTTGCCCCCAATAACGGTTGTTGACTAGGAACATTTGATCATTGGATGCTCATGATGATTGGAGTGTAGGTACATTATATTTGGGGCAAAATTGCAATGGAGAGACACAATATAGTAATCATAAATATGGTTAATAAATGTGCATAATTCAAATGTATAGAAACCTTGGGCAACAGTAGCAAAAGTGAAATAGCCTAACCTAAAGTAATGTTAACCTTTTTTGTCACATAATTGAACAAACAATCTGCATATCTTTGGGAAAGAGACTAATCTTCTCCTATGAGAATAATAAAAAACGAAAATAGCGTGTTCAATTTGAACATGAAAATGTGACTTAAATATTTAGTTTTACCAAATTATATGGTGATTTACTTCACATTTGGAATGGCACAAAAAAATATTTTTTCTCAAGACCCTGGGGGTGTTGTGTTGGGCTATTGAACATATGGGACCAAGATTTGACATTCGCTTGGATCTAATGCAAGCAGGAGCATGCATTTCTGACTAGATGAAAGTGGTAGGTCTTTTGCTTGATGAGTGGAAGAAAGCTTGCTACATCTTTATTTGCTTGGGGACATTATTCATTTGTGCAATTCAGAAGCAAATACTTAGTGGAAGCAATTGAAAAGCCCAGCCCACACCTCTTCTTAATAAACCCAGGTATTAAAGAGAGAGAAACTGGAGATGGGACAACTCTAGGCGATGTGAGACACATTCCAACAGAAGCGAGGCAATTAAAAGATACAAAAGGAGTGGAGGTTTCCCATGTTCATTCTTTTGTGAAATCCACCCCCAAATGAAATTTATGCTTAATTAACGTACATAAATTGGGCTCAAACTGTTTCTTGAAAGTGGGAAACCAGAATCAAAAAAATTTGATTTACAGGATATATCTAACTCACCAAATTGGACTGGCCCGGGATCATACCATGTTATTGTAAGGTATGAAGGCATCCCCTGAATATCTGGAGCAAGGTGCTCCAATCTTCAACCATTGGAAAGGGTTTATCGAGTCACCTGAGAAAATAGGCCACATTACTTTGATTTGCCAAATTGTATCTAGCAGTCCCACTAATTTTTATTGGACAAAAATATTTTTTTATTAATTTTCTTTCCAGAAGATCATCATATAAAACAATTTCAATGCATATTGACCAAAGAGAACAAGCCAATGCAAGATACTACTTCTGATTAGTAGTTGCTACTAGTCAAAAACCACTTTAAACCTAGATTGTTGGAGCACTGCTAAGGAAATTGTTAAAATGTACCAAAACCTACCACTACACCTACTCCACCCACTTCACCTACTCCACCTACTACTACCACCTACTACACACCTACCACTACCACCTACTACCACCTACTCCACTACATCTCCTATATAAGGAGCCCTTCACCATTTGTAAAAAACAACATACATCAATCAATAATATACATCAATTTATTTTACATGGTATCAGAGCAAGGTTAAGCACTTAGTATTTTTCGCTTCACCGGCGGGCGGCAACCTCGCCTTGGCCGCCCGCCGGACCTCAACCTATTCTGCTTGTTTTTCTACACATACCTTCTTCCATAATTAAGCTCTTCTCTGCCTTTACAATGGCTGCCAACGAAGACCAAGCTTTTCCAGACCCATCCTCCACACAGACCACAGACCAGCTCATATACACAAGAGATGCTTGATATCTCTTTCTCTCTCTCTCTCTGGAAGCTTCGTTCTTCTGATTCGCTCGGCTCCATCTTCGGTTTCTTCCTCAACCTGTTCGAAACCATAACTTTTCAGATCAGTGCTCGGCGTTTGGTCCGTTCAATTCTAGCAGCCAAGGTTCATGTCTGAACTCGACATCCAGGTCCCAACAACCTTCGATCCATTCGCTGAGGCAAATGCTGAGGACTCAGGTGCTGGGTCAAAGGAATATGTGCATATCCATATACAACAGCGTAATGGTAGGAAAAGCCTGACCACTGTCCAGGGGTTGAAGAAGGAATTCAGCTATAACAAGATACTCAAGGACCTTAAGAAGGAGTTTTGCTGCAATGGGAGCAGATTGTTCCTGAGGTACCACTCATGGCTGTTTCTCTGTCAAGCAGCTTTTGGGATAGCCTCCCGAAAGCTTGGTTCATATATTTATGTATCGGTGTTGGCTCCAAATATTCCAGCAATGTATGAGATGCATTTTGCAGTGCCCATGGCTGGGGCAGTATTTGTTTCAGAGTGCCTGAGAACGGTGGCTATGGTCTTTGGGTCTAGCCTGGTGTTGATGCCATTGGCACGCGAGGCCCTCCGGCTTTTGATGGACAATTTGAAAGGTTCCATGGCAGCCATATCATCCATCACCTTTTGCACACACACCCATACTCTTTTTTATTTTTTTAAACCAATCTACACCTTTATTTTCATTATTATAAAGCTTAGTTGGTCTAAACTTCTCATTTCTTTTTTTTTTTTTTATTTACTTACTCACACCCATCCACCGCCCAAACTTTATCCCTGTTCCCCACTCCCTCCTTTATTATTTTTTTATTCATCATTCTATATTCATTATCACCATGCTTATCATTTCATCACCATCCCCATATTTTAATATATATATATATATATGTTTTTATTATTATTATTATTATTATTATTATTATTATTATTATTATTATTATTATTATTATTATTATTTTCATTATACACACAAAAAAAA